ATGATATATGTGAACAATTGTTGTGAATTTTGTTAACAATGTCATGTTTGAAAGTTATAAAATAAAAGGTAGAATGAATTAATGTTTTATGTATTTTGAAACTCAAGTACGAATAAGGTAAAATTCCTACCTAATGAACAATGTATTTTTATAAATTATTGCGGGATGATTCTTCGATTTGGTAATATTGATTTACTCAAATTATATGATTCTTTTTTACTTGTTTTTTGGTTTCAAATTTTTACCGATATACTCATGATTGGACAAAACATTAGGGCAATATCATGATTTGGTAAACAAGTTTTACTTAAAAAATTTCAACACAAAACTCAATAAAATCGGCCAAATACAACATAAATTCAAGTCCAATATTGTAGTAAAATTTAACAAAATTTTAAGACTATTCGTACGATAAGTTGTTACGAACGATATTTAAGGCATGCTTTGGTCAATTATGAATTCAAGACCATTCTCGTAGCAAAATTCAACGAAATTCAAGACCATCATGCAAACGACCTTAAGGCATGTTTTGGCCATTGGCAAAAATTGAACCAAAATTTAAGAGAAACACTAATTCAACACAAGTAGAGGAATAAAACAATCAATTAAATGTCATTCTATAAATATCATTACAATTTACAAACAAGCTCCATAATTAAAATTAAAATCAATTCTATTTTATAGAAATTCAACAACTTCTCATTGTAAGTACTTAATCTTTTCATCGATAAAACCATATGTTCTTTCTCTGCCTTTTGTATTGCTATCTCAATCAGCAACTCTTTATTTTCCATCAAAACAGAATCTAACTCTTTCTTCAATCTTTGAGCCTTTATATGTAATTCATTTTTTCCTACAATAACAAATTTCTCTCTCTATAAATCTATCTTTATCTATTTCTCTTTCCTAAAATAGTTATCCTAGCTCTACCTTCTATGAAATCATCCTTCCATACTCAATAACCACAATAAAAAATTTTATTACCTTTGTGGACAAACCATGAAGGACAAGGATGGAACCCGGATCCTAAATGCTTATCACTTTATGGGATCTACTATGCGATCTTCAAACCATAATGACATGTCATAACGGGCTTTTCATGATTCAATTTAGGGGTTTATGGTGAGGCTATACAAATAAAATGCAAACTATCTTCTTCAAATTTGTTGGTTACGGTAGACGATCGATAATTCATTCCATCACCTAATTTTTTACACGTTGATGACGAAGATGACGAACTCCTCTAATTTAGGATTTTCACAAAATGTTAAAATTAATTTAAAGGTTTTAGGGTTAAAATAAATTGAGGATTTTTTTTCTAGTATATGAGAGATGACAAAAAGAAGAATGTTAGTTATAGTGGGTTATAATTCTTTTTTGAAGGAGATTTTTAAACATAGAGACAATCAAAGAGGATGAAGAGAAAAAAGGATAGAGAGGATATGAGAAAAAAAGTTTTTTTTTTTTTTTTGGCTTCTTTAGTTCTCTATCGACTAAAAGAAGAGAGGAAAGAAAATTACTTGGTTTTTATACATAGGTAAAAAAAATTTTCCAAATATAATTTCTAAAATTTTGGGGGTTTAGGAGTATAATTATTAATGACTTAGCACGCCGCGTGGCTTTTTTTTCATCTATCAGTTCTAAACATAATATTAGCTGGATTTTAGTGAAAGAGGTCACATTAAAAAGAGTACAGAAAGTGATTGAATAATAATAATAATAATAATAAAAGATATAGGAGCTACAATAAGAAAATCACAAGAGTAGAGCAACGTCTGATGCAATTAACCCGTTTCTATAATGATATTAATAAATAAGACTTCATTCTCAAAAAACACAAAAAGATTTCTAATATAAATCTATACGTTATATATATATATATATATTAAAACAGGTGGTGGGTTTACTGTTCGTGTCCTGTTTATCAAGACTTGTGAAACTTTGGATTGTGACTCAAACTTATTATGTTGTTGTCCTCAATTCATCTCAACCGTTCTTCCTTCCTTGCATGTGACGTGGCATGCTATATGGATTTGGAAGGTGAAGGTGCTTTTGTTTATTTTCCCTTCCAACTTTCTTCCTCTTCGTTTCCTTTGCGTCAAGCCTCTATATGTGTTTATTATTTCAACTATGCCGCTGGATGGGTGTGTGGTGTTATGCCTTTTCCTCTCCTTTCTTTCTTCTCTTTTGGGATTTTGCTTTTCTTTTCCATAACTCTAGAATTTCTGCCAAGCAAGTTGGTTTTTTTACACTCTTATACTTTGAGCTAATTGTCTTTTATGCCATTTGTTGTTATGTCATGTTACTTATTTGCTCCTCCATTTGTTTCCTGTCATTTTGGTCCCATTTGTTAACTCTCTTTATTTTTCTCCACAACATTTAATGTTCCATGATAATGGTGCTACAAGGATGGTGTTTTGGCTTTTTCCCCCTCCTTTATTTTGCCTTGCCTCTAGCATTTGATGTGAAGGCCGACAAATCATTTATCTATGTAATTTTTTTTCTTTCCCAAAAATGAATGGGAGCACTTTCGTTTGCTATGTCCCATTTGCTAATTTTTATAAAAAGTTTTTATATTAATTATTGTTTTATTTTTTGATACAATGTCATGAAAAACATAACAAAATACTTTAAACATTTTTGAATTAAATTTTCTATTTAGATTATTATAAGTTTTTATTTAAAAATCAATGCATAAAAAAATAAATTAAATAAAAATTTTAATTAAAAAATTAAATGGTTTTTTTTTCCTTTGATTCAATATATTTTAATAGACTCAAGCAACATGTTAGTAAAGTAAAATGATTTTTTAAATTAATTCTCTTTGGCATGCTACATAACGTAGACAACCAACTACCAGTGTCTATAACATATGGCCAAAAAACTGTATTCATTCAATAATTTCTCTTTGGTTGAATTGGCTCGTGTTGGTTTTGCCCTTGGAATTGGGATGGAAGATTAATTGCTTTAACCTAAAGGGAGCACATAGAATAGATATTCCAACGAGTTAACATAAAAATTATTCATCCATTTATTCCAATAATAACACACACATAAAAAAATAAAAAAAATAACAAAAATAAAATAAAGAAAGAGAACATTAGCATAAAAATGACTTGCTTTCCAACAGATAGAAAAATAGATTTAATCTCAATAAAGGAAAGTTAATTTTTTTAAAAAAAATATTGCGTACTAATTTATGTTTGGAAGTAAAGCCATTAACAGTGAGATTAAATTATTAAAAGACTTATAGTGTAGCAGTAGTACGCTTTCTTGCAAAACAGGGAGGAAAAAAAACGTAATTTATTTTTTAAGGCTTGTTATGGTTACTTTAAAACATTGAAATTATAATATTTTCAAGTTATAAATTATTAATTTTTATTTATCTATTGTATCATAATTTATCTTACAATTCAACAACTTAACTAATTATCTCATAATTATGCTAGTTACGAATATTATTGTAAAATTATGACTAATATATATATATATATATATACTATTCATTTTATGAGTGAATACAAAAAGTTAAATTTTTATTTATTTATTGTATCATAATAAATTATCTTACAACTCATTAACATAACTAATTGCTCATAATTATGTTAATTACTAATATTTTTTTCCAATTATGACTCAAAAAAATACATTGTTCCTTTTTAAAAAATAATATTTATTTTATAACAAGTAAGCAAATACAATCTGTTAAATAGATTCACTATATGAACTATAAAAAATACCTTATATTTGTTGTAATTTAACTAATTGCTTTGTAATTACTATAATTACAAAAAAAAATTAAGTACAATTTCAATAAGAAAATATATTACTATCTTAGAGAAAAAAAGTATTTAAGTTCTAAAGCAACTATTTGTAAGTGATTATGAACTAATAAGTATATATCTTTATTATATTCTAAACACCATCTTATTATCTCATAAATTTGAATGCACTATAATTATAATACCTTAAAATACCCATAACAAACCCCCTTATTTTTCTATTAAAAATGAGTACAAATGAAAAAATAAAATTATAATTATGCAAAATAATAGGACATAAATTCATCATACTCATAAATTTTAGAACTTCATGCTTTTTATATACTTTAAAAAAGAAAACAACATATCTTATTCATATTTAGAACTTCATGATTTTACATAATTAAAAATATATATATATCTTAATTCATATTCATGCTTTTTACATTAAAAAAAAAAATAACTTGATTCATATTTAAACATTTGAATCAATATTGAGAAATAGATAATAGATAAAAGATGATTTCTCTTTTAATTTTTTTTTTTTAATGATAGAATTGATATTCTTCCTTTTTAATTCTATTTTGTTATTACTTTAAGCTAAATCTGCCATTAAGATTCGATCCTGTATCATTATTTATTATATGTATCATAAATAATTAGATAAATATATTATAATTAGTTAGATACATGTATCATAATTAATACATATATCTTAATTAATTAGACATATTTTAAATATGTTATATATACATGTATCATAATCAATACATATATCATTTTTAATATCATGTATTTCAATCAATTAGATATATTTTAAATATTATGTATTATATGGATTACATTTAATTTTATAATCCAAATAAATTTATCATATGGGCCCTAATTAATTAAAAAAGAAAAAAAAACATTATTAAAAAAAAAAACAATAACAAAAACAAAAGGTTACCGTGTGACTGTAAGCTGTCAGCTGATGATCAAACAACGTTGAATTGAAGTCTATGGCTTTGAGATCTGCATCATATCTTCTTAACATGTGATGAAATCACATAACCACTTTTTGTATTATAGAGTCAAGTTTTTAATGAGCATGTCATACCTATCTTCATCTTCCTCTTCTCATAAAACCATTCATATAATTAAAGCAGAAATTGGAGATACGACAATATCTAGCTGAGATAGGTTTGAAAGGGTGGCAATAAGGCAGAAGAGAGAAGGCTAGCTAGGGGACTGAACAATATGTCCATGACCATGAACCGCCAACAGATTATGGAGTCCAAAGAAACAACTGAGGATGAAGAAACTAGAAGTGAGCAACAAGTTAACATGAAAAACAATGGGATGGAGCAAACTAAAATATGTCAAGTGAGAGCAATTGTTGAAAGACAGGATCCCTCTTCTAAGGTGATCTTTTTACTCTCTCTTGGTTCTTTTTTTGACATTTTAATTTGTAACTGTTGATGCTCTTGTTATTCTTCCTGGTCTGCTGGTTTTGCTATTTTAGTACAATTTTTGACAACAATGTTCCCTGAACATTTCTTTTCTTTTCTGCATGGAGCAATATAGCTACTAGACATCCTACGAGGCTTGACCATCCTATTTCTGTTTTGCAAGCGAAATTTGATCGATTCAAGTTGCTGTTTCAGGTTTTTTGAGCTATGCAATCTTTCACCATTTTTGGTGGTGATAACAGTACTGGCAGCTGCGTTGTTATTGGTGCTGGTTGTTCTTATTTCCATCCAAATAAAGAAAGGAAATCCTTCTTTAAGATTTCTTGGCAGTGTAGTTCATTATATCTGCTCCAATGTTTAGTGCGGATTTGAATGTGTCACAAGAACCAACCTAACAAAAAAAAAAAAAAAATTGTTAAAAGGATTCAAGCTTCGATTTAACAATCTTGTTGCTGTTACATGACTGCCCAGTGCCCACTCATGGATTCACCAGAGTGCCATCATTCCTATAACAAGATTATTAACTGGCAGCTTGAGTCCCTTTAATATCTTTGTAGATATGTTCTTCAATTTTCAGTTAATCTGGTCTGACCCTTTATGGCTGATGGCTGATGATAGTGTAGAGGCATTAGTAATCAAAGATCACTGACCTCAAACCAACCTTCATTTGAAGCACAGTTAGTCGAGGACAGTTATTTTTCTTAAGACCACATAAATATTCTTGATCAAGCGGCCTCTACCCTCATCGTCCGGGTCTGTGAAATCATATAAATTAGACCAATAATAGGACTTCCTGATGTCATAACCTTTGACAGCTGGTGGTAATGCATGACATATGTTAAAGAGTTTTTTTCAAAGTTGATTTCTTGATTCATTTGTCAATAATCTTGGAATTTCTCATTTACAATCGAGGTGCAGGGAGTAGATGACCTGACAATAGGAAGATTTTTGCGCGCTCGTGATTTAGATATAGAAAAGGGTTCTTCCATGCTCCTAAAGTACCTGAAATGGAGAAGGGAATTTGTTCCAAATGGTTCAATTTCTGTGTCTGAGACGCCAAATGAAGTTGCGCAGAACAAGATGTTTCTGCAAGGATCAGATAAAAAAGGACGACCTATAACAGTCATTCTTGGAGCTAGACATGTTCAAAGCAAAGGAGGTCTAGAAGAATTCAAGCGTAAGTACAGTTACCATCCAAGCCTTCAATTATCTGACAACTTGCAACACGATCCTATGGTTTTTGTCTTAATTAGTCTTTCAACTGAGACAATTCTGCAATTGCCTTGTGTATAGGTTTTGTAGTCTATGGTCTTGACAAAATATGTTCAAGGTAATTCTTTGGCTTCCAGCCATTTCTGTCTTCGAGAATTATTAAAAACTGCAAATCAATGCAGCACCTTAGCTGTAAAATATCCTAACATACATAGGACATTGATGTGTCAGGATGCCACCAGGACAAGAGAAATTTATCGTCATTGGAGACCTTCAGGGTTGGGGATATGCAAACAGCGATATCCATGGATACCTTGGAGCCCTATCCATTTTGCAGGTATTGAGCTCCACCAAGCACCATTCTTCTATAGCTGATTATGGTTTTTGCATGGCCAGTCTAAGATTTCTCAAATGCAGGACTATTACCCAGAAAGACTTGCGAAGGTATTCCTTGTGCATGCTCCCTACATTTTTTGGACAGTGTGGAGGATTGTTTACCCTTTTATAGACAACAATACAAGGAAGAAGGTAATTAAGTGCATTATCTTTTATTCGTTTTACCAAAAAAAAAAAAAAATTGATCATCTGCATGCAATCAGTTGAATAATTCAGCTGTCTCTGGATTGCTAACATATTATTGTCCTGCATCTCTTCACAGATAGTATTTGTGGATAACGGTAAGCTGAAATCAACTCTGCTTGAAGACATTGATGAGAGCCAGATCCCTGAGAATTATGGGGGGCAACTTCCGTTAATTCCTATCCACGACAGCTAGTGATGTAGCCTGCAAGCAACAGTAGGAAACGTGATTGAAGACTTATGTACCATCACTGCATTTATAGCAAATGCAGACCACTTAGATGTTTTTTCAATTCGAGGAGAGTCTTGAATTCGAGTCAGTTGGCTGTCCTGTCAAAACAACAGTTGGTTGATTGATGGCCGATCTTTAAGTTTTTACTTTAAAGACCGGGGCTAAATGTATAATTTTTAAGTTTCTGGTGTTATTTTAATTGATTTAGATTCCTCCTTGCCGGCATTGTTTATGCCCATAGAAGGTCGGTCTCTTGCAGCTCAATGACCATCATTACGCAAAGCTAAAGAGCACTAAGCCAAATGCTTTCATGAAATAATGTCAGCAGCAAGCACAAAGTTAAAAATTCAAACAGCCAAATAAGATTATCAAGAGATAAAATGGCGAAGCTTCATGAATCGAACACAGTTGAAGGCAGGCACAATTCTGTCGAAGTTAACCTCGACAGATCAAGAGAAGACATCCTAGCAGTGAAATCATCATCTTCATGACCTACAGAGTTGCTGCAAGGTTCCTCAGACCCATTTCATGACATAAGACTTGAATTTATAAAGGAACAGATTGATGTCTAACTGATCTTATTACTTGGTAGTAACCAGTGAATTGGTAACAACATAAAAATTCCTTTGCTTTCTTGTTCTAACGGTAAATTTCAATTAAAACACTTGGTATCTTCGCGGGTTAATTACATTTTCTGGTGTACAAAATTGTAATTTTTTTCTATTTGACCGTATAAATTTTAATATTTGTTATTTGAATACATTAAATTGTAATTTTTTTCATAGTTGAATGTTTCCGCTAACTTTATACTGATATGATCATTAACTATACATATGTTGTCAAATTATGAGCTTATTGTGAGATTCATGGCAGTAAAAAAATAAGTTTAATACATATTTAGTGTATAAACTTGTCAGTTTTTCAATTTGTGTGTTTACACTTTAATCATTCTATTTGAATGTATCAATTTATATATATATATATATATTTTTTTTTTTTTTTTTAGTAGTTTCGTTAACTTTAATCTAATGTGTCCATTAATTACATTTATGACACTGTCATGAAGGCCTTATTGTAAGATACGTGACAAATAGAAATTGCACACCACCAGATCCAAATTAAAAATTAAAAAAAAAATTAACAAATGTTTGAAAAAAAATACTACTATAAAAATAAATATATAAAATTAAAAAAAAATCTTTAATTTATCTGTCTTATCTAACCCAGATTCAAGCCACCCTTCGTTCCAAATCAAAATTTAATTTTACAAGGTAATCTTTCAAATAGTCATCATGCCCTTTAAAATCAATTGCCAATTTTCAAAATTCAAGAAATCAATGCAGAATTCTCTTTCTCAATCTTCTTCTTCTCGTCTTTTTCCCTCAAATCTTCTTCAAGACCTTCTTTGTTAAGAAAATCTCTTAACAGCTTGCTTCTGTTTCGGGACATCTATGACCAGCTTTAAGTGATTAACATCAGTCGATTCAAACATTTTAAATCAACTATGTCCCCAGTTTAAGCACTCCCTTCTTTTCATCGTTTCTCACTCCCTGTACTGGTTCTTGTCTCTTCAGAGAACTGTAGATATTCAACATGCTCCTAACTTCTGACACGTGATATTTTTTAAATGGCAACTTCACCTAGTCTTTTTCTTTTGTATGTTCTACGAGCCCTAAGAATGACCTTCATATAATCACATCTAGCTCAATTTGCACTGATTTAATCATGGCATAAGCCTTGTCAAGAAGCCCCAGTTGACTAAAGAGATGAACCATAGCTCCATAATGCTCAAGTCATGGCTGAATTGGATGCCAACCTCTCATTAAATCAAAAGGACTTGTGTTTTATCAAACGACAATGGCAAGAAGGCCGTTAAAATTCTAAGGAAAATTATAGAACAAGGTAAAAACATTTTCCATCTCCATCTTTGAAAACTACTAGATTTCATCGAAAGTGTCGCGGGGCGACGTCAAGCGCGTGAGGTAAAATATAGGACAAATGATTGGAGTCGCTACCTAGTATTATGGTTACTAGGAAACCTCATTACTTGGTCTATTCGAGTTTCGGGTAAGGGATTTATTACGTGTAGGGAAGACCAAAAGTCACCCTACCTCGTCTTGCCTAAGGCAAGCTGCATTGCATACAACTTTAATTTGACTTCGATGAAAGTGCCTCCTTTTTCGAGTGATTCGGGACTTGGTATTCGAAGACCTTGTCCTCACTCCGTAATGAATGGCTAAAAATGATGAACACGGGGAATATGCTTGCTAGTGCGGCTCAAACGACATGCATGAGAAAAAAACTTAAAATAGGCAAATAGGCAAACAAACAAGCCGGACAAAATGATAGAATAGGCAACACAAATAAAAATAGGCAAATTGGCAAATAGACAAAAATCGACAAATACGCAAATTAGCAAAATCGATAAAGAGGCAAATAGGCAATTAGGCAAAAATCGACAAATAAACAAAATAGGCAATCATAGGCGGAAATAAGCAAACTTAGGCAATCATGAGCAAAAATAGGCTAAAATCGGCTACATAGGCAAAATGGCAATCATAGGCGAGAAAATAGGTAAGTTTAGGCAAAATAGGCAATCATAGACAAAAATAGGCAAACTTAGGCAATCATGGGTAAAAATAGGCTAAAATCGACTACATATGCAAAATAGGCAATCATAGGCGAGAAAATAGGCAAACTTAGGCAAAATAAGCAATCATAGACAGGAATAGACAAACTTAGGCAATCATGGGTAAAAATAAGCTAAAATCAATAAAACGAACACATATTCATTCAATTAATTACATGACACATATCAATCATAAAGCAAATTTAATACATGTTAAATAAATAAAGTAAAAAGAAAGTGAAAAAATATTACTATAAAAAAAATGAGCTAGGTCAATTCCCTTGGCGATCTCGAAGTCGGATCCGACCTTTTCAACCCCGATGGAGATCAATATTTAGTCAACCGGGAGGAAAGGTGGATGGAGCAACGACTGCCGGTAAGGGCGCCGGTAGAAGCGAGCGCGCGCCGGCGAGGCGCAAGCGGGCGCTCTCTAACGGACACGCCGGAGGCACGGACGCGCACCGGCGAGGGGCTGGCAGGCGCAAGCGGGCGGGCGTGCACCGGCAGGCGTAGGCGAGGTGCTGGCAGACGCACTGGAGAGGCGCAGGCGCACGCCGACGAGGCACAAGCACGCGCCGGCGAGGCACCGGCGGACGCGCCGGAGGCGCTGCTGCGTGCTGAAACGCCCGATGTGCTTGGAGTGGGCTGAGGAAGGCGTTGAGGATAGGCTGCTGTGTGGGGGAAAGCGTTGAGGTTGGTGGCGTTGCTACTGGCGTGTTGGCGGCTGGGCGCTGGCGAGCCTATGGCTGGCCTGGCGTGCTGATGGTTGGGCACTGGCGTGCTGGTGGCAGAGCGCTGGCGTGCTAATGGCTGGGCGCTAGCAGGCTTGTGGCTGGCCTGGCAAGTTGGTGGCTGCTGCTAGTAAGGGGGCTGGCTGCTAGGTTTAAAAGAGCTTCAGCTAAGGTTTTTTTTTAGCAATAGTGAACAGTAATTGTCCCTTTTTTGGAGGAAGGGGGTGTTTTTATACTATGTATTTTTTAAGGTTTTTTTGGCTAAAGGTCTGTTTGATCCCTCACTTTACAAACTCCCTTTATTTTAGCTCCTTTCTCTTTTCTTTTTCAATTGTGCCCCCAATTACATCTTTTTTCTTTCCTTTATTTTTTCTTTTCCTTTTTTTATTTTTTTTCTCTCTGCTTTTTTTTACCCAAATTTGGGTGTTAACAGAAAGCAAACCCTACTAAGCCACTGATCATTGGATTCCACACACAGAAGCAGTGGGTACACGTTCATTAATGCTGAAACTTAAAATAAGATTTAATCCAATCCTTGTGCCAAAAAATAACCCATTCCCCCACGGAGCATGATTAAGAGCTCAAGTCTTGCACACCATTTAGAACTGAAGCAAAACATATATGGTTCAAAATTCTATCTAAGCATAGCTTGAAAAAGTCTAGATACCTCCTCAAATCATGCTTTTCTAACATAGCCTCCCATCATTGAGTTCCATGTAACCACATCTCATGCAGGAATTTATTAAAAATCATTCTGACAATTCTATAATTTTCTATTCTCATAAAATTATCAATAATCATATCAAAACCTCGTAACTCGCATTTTTTCAAAAAACATAGCCTCAGCTTCATGATAAATCATTCATTATTTCTGATGAAAGTAAATTCCAATCACAAACTTCGCATCTCATAACTGAAAGTAAGACACATAGTTGTAGAGGCAATGGCAAAAGGGAATAAGAAACTAAAAATGTCAGGATTAGTAAAATAATTTCAAGGAGAACAAAACATAAAATTCTAAACAGTCAACTGGCAAAGATCGACTCTCGTTGCTGGATATTTTTTTGTTTCTAAGTGTTGTGTGGTTCACATGAATCTGTCCCTGATATTACTGCCACTTCACATGCACATCCACCTGAACCTGTGACTGACAGAACAGATTTCATATGTGCATCCTCGAACAGTTTCAATGGGCTAGCTCTAATCAATGCCAACCCTTTAAACTCTTCCAGCGAGCACAGCCACCAGATATCACAAATTTTGGCAAGTCTCAACTCAATCTGCACAATCCCAGCATGTGTAGATGCTTTCCTCTTGATGCTGTAAGTTCCAAGCAAACTTGACCTCTGTTTCAGGCAACAAATCCAGGCTGACTTATCCAAATTTGTTGATGACCAACTGTGTTCTCTGCAGAATTGTATTAGTTCTTATCATCTAAGCAACTCCTGAACTTCGCAGTAATTTATTCATTGAAATTCGAATTGTGGAAGTCATTGGTAGAGATTAACCAAGCCACCTTTGCTTAGTGAATTGTGGAAATTCTAAAACCCATGAAAGCGCATATTTTATCAAGAATTTTGAGGAACAACTACCAATAGTCTCCACAAGAGCATAAACCGTTTTCAAACTGGTGAAATCGGATCCGATCCCTTACAATAATTACTCTGCTTAAAAGCCTTGAAACCATTTTTATCCAGTTGTGACAATCATAACAGATTCGGAGGTTCTTTGAAATCCTAATTTCCATCCCAGAGGTTGTCTTGAGGATACCATAGGCCAAAGCCAACTTTTCACTGTGATGATACAAATTTCCCTCCTTTTCCTCTTCAGAGACATCCATCATAACTAAGTCTGTCGTGGGCACATATCCTGCCAGCTTTGTTCTCTGGATCAATTCTTCCAACACTTTGTATATCGCTTCGGTTTCAGGATGAGATCTATCACCTGCCTTAAATGGGTGAAGACCACCAGCCAACTCAAACCAACTCTTTCCCCGAATTTTATGAACTCTCTTCTTTATCATCATTTCCCACACTCCTTGTGCAGTATCCCATCTCTTCTGAGAACAGTAGATATTTGACAACAAGACATAATCTCCACTCCTGAGACGAGATATATTTTTCATGGCCACTTCACCCAATTCTGGCTTCTTGTATGTTCTACAAGCTCCAAGAAGTGCCCTCCATATAACAACATCTGGTTCCATTGGCATTGATTTGATCATGGCAAAAGCCTCTTCTAGAAGCCCAGCTCGACCCAAGAGATCGACCATGGCTCCATAATGCTCAAGTTGTGGCTGAATCGAGTATCGACTTCTCATTAAATCAAAGTATTTATGACCTTCTGTGACCAAACCACAATGGCTACATGCTGTTAACACTCCAATAAAAGTTATAGAATCAGGCAAAACATTTTCCTCCTCCATCTTTGTAAAGACCTTGATTGCATCTAAAGCAAGCCCATGAACTCCTAAACCAGTAATCATCGAATTCCAAATACAGACATTGTTGCGTTGGACACTATCAAAAATCTCCTTTGCAGTTTGAATATTACCGCACTTCGAATACATGTCTATCAATGCTGAACTCAAAATAAAATTTAACTCAATTCTTTTCTTAATAAACAACTTGTGCACCCACTGAGCATGTTTAAGAGCTCCAAGTCTTGCACAACCATTTATAACAGATGCAAACGTAAACTTATCTGGTTCAACGTTTGATTTAACCATAACTCTAAACAGCCTCAATGCCTCCTCAAATCGTGCTTTTCTAACGTAACCTCCAATCATTGTGTTCCATGTAACCACATCTCGTGCAGGTATTTTATTAAAAACCATTTTGGCAATCTTATAATTTTCCTTTCTCATAAGATTATCAATAATCATATTCAACTCCACCAAATCAATACTCCGACAGAAAACTTGATCAATAACTTTGAAAGCAAGACTGTGGTAATTGCAACACACATATTTTGATATCAAAGAAGCCATAAGAGACGGACTAGTTCCATAACCAAATATAATAACCCTTGAGTGGATTTTCGTCACAGTTCTGATATCCAATGAGGTTTTACATGATTGAAGAAGATTAAACAATACTTCATAATCTGCCAAATTACCATTAAATTGTCACAAAAATGTTCTAAACTTAAAACTCTCACTAACGAAAACAATAGAATTTGACAATCTGCAAGGATTTTAAGGGCTTTGTTAAATTCTCACCAAAGGGTCTAAAGTTACCATCTTTCAATTTATCAAAAAATGTTACAATCTTTCACAATTTAAAAGCATGAATCAAATGTTATCATTAAAAGGGTGCAATTAAGTTTCAAGCTTTCATTAATGAAAAGCACAAAAAAACACAAAAGTAAAGCAGCAGAAAGACAAGTGCAAGTGAGCAAACAATACCTCTATTGTCTTGGTAAGAAGGATAAGAGACTAGCACTGAACTGTAGGAACGGTTCCACTTAATAATTCCCATATGGTGCAGTGTAGTTAGTCTCTTTATCGCATTCAGCTGCATAGTTCTTGCACCCTCTTTCTCTCTCTGCGTGTTTCAGTGGTTCTGCTTTGAAATGGTAGAAGAGGAAGTGGAAGAGAAGAGTCTCCAAAAATGGACTAGATTCAATGCCATTTATGGGCTCTAAGGAAATGGGCCTTACAGGGCCTTTACAGGTTATTTAACTTACTGATCCAAACCGACGCCGTTTCAACATTCCAATAACGGTAAAAAAAGTGGATTTATGTCAAGCGAACCACACAGTATATAAACGAAGAAAGGAACAACCTATCATCCTTTTTCACTCGGTGCCCACTTTTAGTAATTTTTCTCTCAGAAAAGCCTCTCTATCTCGAAGAAAAACCCTCGCAGAGTATCAAGAAAGGTTGTTTATCAAGTTTCATTTTTAAAGTATAAGGATTCGTGCTTTTAAAATTATATTTTATTTGGGTATTATTCTTTTTTTATTTATTTCCAGTTTGACTTAGAATTTAAATAGTTCGAATTAGACTTCCTTTGTTAAGTTTCTTTTCTCTTCTGTTCTTTCTTTTGTTCTCTGTTTTTGTTGTTCTCTGTTTTCTGCTTCAAACAAGACAACCTAAGGGTCTTAAAGAAATCTGTAACAGTAATTCGATATATGATTTCCAAAAAAAAAAAAAAATTACCTTTTTGTTTCTAAATCTTTTAATCTCAGTTTAATTGTGGGCTACTGTTTATATGTTTCTTTACAAGATTTAGAATGTCTTAGGGAGAGAAACTGTAGTTCAGGCCATGAACATATGTTACTCTGTACCTCTCTTCTTTCCTGCTTTATAATTTCAAAATATTCACGGTCATTAATTTCTAAAATCCTAGGTTTAGTCTAGTTTCTCTCTAATTTGTAGTAGTTTTTAGAATTTGGTAAAGGGGTATGCTTTCTTTTTCTTTCATGTTTACTGATTTTTTGAATTTGGTTAAAAAACCCTACTTTGTTGTATGTATTTGGTTTACTCATCAAATTTTATGTTCAAGTAACAACCCACGTAACGATTCATGTTTCGGAGTTTTGAAAATTTATGTTCTGTGGGTCTGTTCAGTTTCTGTTTCGTTTTCATACATTTGTTGAATTAGGTAAAGGAGAGGCGTTATGTCTATGTTCATATTCTTTGTTTTCTTCTTCCTTCATTGTCTTCTTGTGGCATCTGTTCTGCTTCAAAGAAGACAGGAGACACATAAGGTGGGTGCAAGAAATCTGCTACAATAGTTCAATCTTTTTCCAGAAGAGCCCTTTCTTACTATATAATTTTAATATGAGTAAACTACGTTAAAAGGTTGTTTAGTTACTAGTAACAGAGTAATGAGAATAAGAATGTAAGTTTTATATCTATTTTATAATTATTTGATTGAAGAAAATAAATTAAGAATGAAAATAAAAATTAAATATAATTTTATTCCCACGTGGAAGGTAGGAATTAAAAAAATGGGAATGAAATTCTTTTATCAAAATATTAATATATTATTTTTTATTGTATATTAACCACTATTGTCATCACCAACAATCTCTCTTTATTCGTGGTGGTTATAAAAATAAAATAAAATAAAAAATTATTATTGTTGTTATTATTATTATGTCACCACTTTTCTTTAACAATCATCATCATTTTAATTGTACTATCACCATCAATACTACTACTACAATAACCTTTATCATTTTTATTACTATTACGGTTAATAAAATTATTTTTTAATTATTATTTTTATTCTTATTAAAACTTAAACATTAAAAAATTTAATTTTATTATAATTTTTTATTACTATTCTAAACATAATATGAGAATACAAATATCATCTCGATTTCTTAATTTTTATTTCAATTTTTATATTTTCATTTTGAATCTTTTTTTTTTTTTTTTGTGATTAAACAACACCTAAATATCATGTGGTTTGAACATGGTAACACTTTAAACACTATAGTTACATAAATTACGCTTTATATTTTAAAATAGTTGAAAATGAACTTTCGAGAAAAAGAATAAAAATTATAAAATCTTCTCATAGATACATCAACGAATCCATAGCCAGCTAAGCAATTTTCTTCACTATTCCCTCCCAACTCTCCCTCTCCTCTTTTCGTTCAATGTTCTTTCTTTTTTTTTTTTTTTCTTTTTTTTCCTCACTCTCTTTCAAGGAGAGAGCTTAAAAATCTCGTTTTCTTCAATCTCTTGTTGATTGAAGGTCAAAGTGAATTAAAGATGAATTGAAATTGAGTGGGAGGTACGTGAAACACTAACCTCAATATTTGAATTTTTTAAACGAAAATGTATTTAATGCATAAAATATTTAGATTAACTTTATATTTATAGAATCCCAAGTAAAATCTCTAAAAAAAATATTGTGCTTTAAGGTTTTTTTAAATTGTATTTTGAAATTCCTAAAGAAACCTTAATTGTTTAGTGTTGAATTTTTTCCTTTTTTTTTTTTTTGGTCGAAATTAATTGTTTATGCTGTTATTGGTCGTTCCCAATAAAGCTACTAAAAAATATGTGTTTTTAAGATTTTTTTTTAAAGTTGTGTTTTGAAATTTCAAAAAGAAAAAAATTTAATTTTTTAATGTTGACTTTTTTATTTGAAATTCTATTCTAAATACTTTCTTAATGTGTCTCTTTTAATAGGATTCCAATCAATTTTTTTGGCAATAAGTGACAAGTGGACTACCACATCAAATAATAAAATAATAATAATATGTGTAAAAAAATTAATTTTAAAAAATATTTTTTTCTTTTTGTTAGTTTCATTTTTTTTTTCATATGTGTCACTATTATCTAAAAACAACGATCCATCTGTCACTTGTTATTGAAAAATTAATCAAAATGTTATTAGAAAGACAATGTCTAAAATAAAAAGACCAAATAAATAAGTAAAAAGAATAAAAATGATATACTAAGAAAATGTTAATAATACAAAGATGAAATATACGATTAATCCTATATTAACAAAACACCTAAAATAAAACCATGAATCATTGTCTAATCATTGGGCGTTCTACTATAGACCAATATCTTGTTACACTATTCATGTACATGCAAGTACATTGTGAATTTTCATGGTTTGGTGGTGTTTTTGTAAACTTGCACCTATTATCAAGCATTTACATCCAAATTTTTTCAAAATATTGTATTTTGATCTCTTGTTTTTTGAAGACTTTTATTTCGATTTCAATCTAGTTCCTAATTGTAAGGAGAAGAGAGAAATGATGGTAGAGAAGTAAGGAGAGAGTTGGACGACTAGGCTTGCTCCGACCACTTTGACCATTAAAATTATTTTCAATTTGTTCGTTTTAAAAAAGAGAATTTGTTTGTAGTGGTCACAAGGTATGAAATTATTGAAGAAGGTAAATCATTAGGACCTCAAAATGTGTGTATTACAATAAGTTTTGAGGCTCTAAACGAGTTTATTGATCTTATTTTTATAGTTTTGAGATGTTTTGGGATAGAATAGGAATGAATTAGGATTGAAAAGGTAGAAAACTACAAACTTTTTTTTTCTGGCAAGGTTTATGGCGAACCAAAGTTGCTTGAAGCGTGCAGTAGAGGACACATCTAGAGTTGGCCAGAGTGGACTATGGATGACACGTCTTTTACATAGAGAGCGGACAGTGTGTCATCCATTTTCATTTCTTTGTTTTTTTTTTATCTTTTCAAGGCTGACTTGCATGGGCTTGGTTCTCGATGCCTAAACGCACAAACATGCACCTTAGTTGGTTTTTTTTTTTAATATTTTCTTTACTTTTTTTTATTAAGGATTTTTGGAGGAACTAATGGAAGATTGAAGGTTATTTTTTGTATTTCCAACACAACCTGATAAGTATGAATATACATGATATCTTTTCATATTAAAAAATATATTTTTTTTAATTATATTATTCTTATTATTTAAAAGTTATTCCTTTATTTTGTAATTTCTTATTAAAATTCTCATCCAATTGATTTTTTTTAGTTTTTATAAAATTTTGTTTACTGATAAATATTATTTTTCTCTATATATGGGTTTTGGAATAAAATTTTGGAACTTGATTGTTTTTTTCTTTTTCTAAAAACAAATTGATATAATTTTATATCATGTGTTCTTTAAATTTTTAAATGATGGTGGCATGATATATATGTGTGTGTGTGTGTGTGTGTGTGTGGTTAAAAGTGTATTTCCCATAATTTGTCTAAAAAAAATTTTTTTAATGTTTTTTGCTTTATGCTTTCACTCTCAACCCACTAAATATAGTTATGATGTATATAAAAAAAAATCAACAGCTTTATTAAAAATTAACTATGTATTTACACACATAACACCAACTATTTGCTTTTACTTTTTACTTTTTTTGAACATTATAAAACCAATTTCTTTAAAATAAAATAATTAAAAAAAACCACTCAATGATTCAAATATAGTGTTTTATCCTAACATTATTGATTTGTTTGCTAATAAATATATATGAATCAAATGGAGAAATTTTATAATACATAAGGAGTAACTAGTGGACATGTACAAGTAATTACTTCATGAACTCACTTTTTAAGAGAGAGATAAACACATATTAAAAAAAAAAAAAATCACATCCGGATCCATAAAAAATGAGAATAAGATTTTCACATTGGCTTAAATTTCTTTTTTAATTTTCTCTCTCATGTTTGTGTCTATCTCTCTTCATTGAGTAACTTACACTTGGTTACTCCTTGAGTATTATAACTTTTCTCAATCAAATATACATACTTTAAGAAAATAATCTTCTTATCAGCATTACATAGGAATAAAAAATCATTTTTTCATGTGTTAATTTTTTTCCAAGTTTATAAATCAATTGTTGCTTTATTTTTTTTTATAATCTTATAAAAATATATTTTTTAAAGCATTTTTTTAATATTTTAGATCAATGTTTTTATTTAAATTATTACAGATTTTTATTTAAAAATAATGAATGAAGAACGAATCATTTTTTTAAAGTATAAATTTATATAAAAAATTATCTAAATACAAGATTTTGATTTAAAAAATATGAAATTTACTGTTTTTTTATTTTTTATTCAATATATTTTAGTAGATTCGTAACAAAGTGTTGATTATTAAACTAGAATTATTTTATTCTACCCAACTTACTGTGCATCGACTAGTGTAATTCTTTATACAGAGGCAAGGTTATATGCGCTCGTGGTCAGGATATATAACAGCAATTATAAAAAGGAAAAAAAAAATGAGGGAGTTGATCATGAGCACTTTTAGGCTTGGCCATGAAACTGGGATGCATGGAGCCTGCAGCAAATTAATGCAAGGCAACCATTACATTTTCTGAAAATTAAAGAACCCTAATTTTTCACTAATGGCAAGAAGAAACCCTAGACGCACTTGACTAGAGATCTGACCCGATGTTTCTCAGCAAAAAAAAAAAAAAGCAAATTTAAAAGAGAGCGCGCACAAAACAATATACCGAGAGATTTGGACTTTAAATTCAAGCCGAAGCCGCCAGCCGAAAATTAGAAACCTAATAATGGGATAAGTCCACAGAGGGGCCTAAATCAACAGTTTTAGTTATGGCTCATTATTTCATGTGTTTAGCTCGTTTATAAATTACGTGGTTTAATCTCTTTCTTGTTTAGCCTGTACCATTTTACCTTGGTCTTCGCTGCAGCATCACTCCCCTGCCCCAAGCCATTCCTTGACCTCGTCTATACGTCGAGCATTCCATAAGCTATTCTGGTTTGCTGTACTAGGTGTTTTTTGTCTTGTTCATCAAAAATTTTGATTCAAGAATCCTCTAGGAGCTTCTCTTCTACTGCCTGAAGCAGTTTCTGAAAACAATCTGCACTGCTAATCATGGACTAGTACTCTTTCTGCAAATGGTTAGGCTTTTACAATATGGTTTCTGTATTAAAGTAAATCTGTGATTTCTCATTTGGCATACGTGCACTGTACGTAGTCTCAGGTTTCTCCACACTGTACGTAACTGAGTTGGATGATTGAGATCTAACAACAAACTCTACGCTACCCTGCACAACCCAACACGATCATCATCAGATGCCTTACTGGCGTGGAGCTGCTCAAAAGAAAGGGGGAAAAAACATCCAAGAACATGGCCACACGATTCGAGACACTTTAACATATTATTATTAACTTTCCTGGGATGATTTTTTTAGAGCGCCAAGGGCTGCGGGGTAATTGGGCATTGGTGTATCAATACGTTCTAAACCAAACAATATGGCGAACGTAAAGTGGGAAGCCCAGAGCTAAATAATCACAAGACCAAATTAGGCTCCACCAATATAAAAGCATGGATCCATAACATCATACATTTATGCATTAAGTACTCATATTACAAATGATTCCATTCAATGATGTACATCATAGTTTTAAATAATGATCGCTACGTTATATAACGGTCATTATGTAACGGTTTCAAAACATATTATTATCATTATTTTAATATTATAATAAGCTGCGATCCATGATCATTTTTTCAACCTTCCACGATTTAAAACTATTGTATACATCATATAACATCCTATCAAGCAGACTCGCACTCATCAATTATCCTAGAAATGTTAGCAAGACCATTGTTTAGGCCACCACATTCTTAAATCACAGCTATATAAGAGAACCTATACATCCACTGCCTGGCTGGTAAATCCTGGATACCTGTGAACGATACTCAACCGTTGACAGAACCTGCAGAACAAAAATTAAACAGTTAATTAAGAATAACATGTCATATAGGCAAGCCAAAATTAAACAGGCCGATTAGCTAAGGCCCCTCATTAGCCATCAACTTTGATAAACTACACATGAAACAGGATTAAGATTTTTTTTTTTTTGAAAAGAAAGGACAACACCACATTACAAAGGCAATGGTGTGTCACGTGACAGGATTGAGAATTAAACAAAGGAGAAAAGGAGAAGTTCAAACTTTGCAGAGTACTAACAGAATAGCTAATCAAACTCAGAGAATCACTCATGGAAAAGAATTAACATCGAACTGTCATTTCAAAATAAAATGCAGGAGCATGAGCAGTCAAATATGCCAACTTTCTTTTTTACATGGAAAGGAAAATTTTATTAGAAAGGGGAAAAAAAACAAAATGTGAATAAGACATCCTCCTGAATTGCAAAAGAAACAGTGGACAAGATTAAAAAATAAAAGGCACTCAAATATGTCAAATATCATTTTGAAAATATAAATACATCAGCTATCCATTCCAGAGAGCATGATGCTTAAGATTAATCATTTGGTGCTTCAAATATTAAAAATAAAAGAAATGGGAAACATGGAAACTCAAGACTTAGATTTCGGATCAAAAAATTTACAAAGTATTTTGGCCAAGAAGTTGATATGTGCAAGGGAGGGACGAATGTTAATTAATAAGTTGTAAAACAATTAATTCCACAACCTGAATCTCGTCATCCTAGGAAATTTAAGACTAAAGAAGAATAATGCAGAAAATAATGAACCTCATGAGGACTATAGAATCAGGTAATATAAAACTGACAGATGGAGAGAAGGGGCAAAAATAGAATATTCAATGCTTAAAAGATGACGTCTTTCAATCGAGTCAGTCTCACAGTATATGTTGACATTATTGTAGAGCTAGTCATTTTCAAAATATGCATATGCATCTAAATCCAGCTTAAATAAAATTTTCTTTAAATACGAATTAATGTAAAAGAAAAATGGTTGTTATGGTTCCTGGCAAGTTGTGAAAAAACCCATATCATTGATACTAAAACTGAAACTATCCATCTACATCACAATGACATCTAATAAGTTATGATAAACATCAGTCAAGAGATGGCAAGAAAATCCAAATTATATAAACAAGGTTTTAACAGCTTGTTAGAAAGTGAAGAGAAGATGTCTTGCACCTGATAGGGGATTGTTCAAACATATCTTGTGTTGTTTGATAGAAACCAAGACCAGCTGTTAACTAACATCTGATCCAATATCATGCTCAGTGAAATGGTGATAGGAGGAATGATGGGTTCATTCAAGATCGCAAACCAGACCTTTCTCAGCAGACGTGGAAATAAAAAATCAGTTTTACATGGGAAACAGTGCTGCATTTGTAGTACGCTCATGCCTTGACCTCTTCATACGGTTTTCTTGATGAATACTTTTATAGATTTGTTCTCTCGAGCATCTTGAGCAACTAAATCTTAACTGAACTATCAATCAATATTTTGGAGTATTAATAAAAGAAATAGTGACACTTGAACTCCTGAGATCCTTCCATCTAACAGTATGGACAATGCCGCTTGCTACCTAGGAAAGTTTTCAATTTTTTGAGATATTGTCAGGATTGATAGAGGGGAGTGACCTGATTGCAAATGTAAACCCACTACCACAGTAAACGTTGAAGAAGGCTTCTTCATTTTGAATATCAGGACCTAGACTGACTGTTTGAGGGATAGTTTGATCATCTGTATTCCCCAAGCCAAGTTGACCGTGTTCACCCCAACCCCATGTCTTTATTGCTCCATCCACTGTGAACAAAAATTTACAATGACATCAGCAAAATGAAATGACACAATGACTCCATAGAGAAAAAGAAGATGGGTATCAATTCAAAGTAAAGAATCTTGCCTGTCACTATAGCAGAGTGCTCAGCTCCAGCTGCAATCTTCATAACTTTCACCCCATCAAGACCACTTACTTTATTCAAAACTGCTCCAGATGAATCTGCTGGAATATGAAACTGAGAGGTGGTGATATGACAACTAACACCTCAATACTAGAACTAATACATAGATGATTATTTGATGTGCATAGCTTATGTGGTTAGACAATTGAAGTTCAGAGTTACAAGATTATTGGAATTAGTCATCTACACTACAAAACTGAAGCTCGATACCCATCATAAAAGCAAGGAAATGCAAAAGGCTCTTCTCTTCCAGCTTTGGAAGTGGAAAAGAGCAATCATCATCACTTCATCACATATATTTGTATTTATGTAAAACAATGCTAATGCAGGTTGAATGTCTAGATGCAATACCAGAAAGATGCTTCACTGCACTCATTTTCTCAAGATCACAAAGAGCCCCATGGTAATTGCCACCAAACATAAATAGTTCTCCATCACCTGTTCAAGATATCCCATCATCATTTAAATCTTATGAAGACAGGAGTGTAGTGAGGGGTTGTTTGAAACTACGAACAAAGAGGATTGGATAGGAAAAGAAATGCATTGACCTGTCAATAGCAAGATGTGATTCCATCCAAGAGCAGCTTCAGTGCACCGCAAAGATGAAAGTGAAAGCTGAGGAAAGTTAGCATCTGAGGCACCAGTGAAACCCCTTCCCCAAGTGTATAGATGACCATCAGCTGATGTAAGCAGTAAGAAACAACATCAACAAGAATGATAAATGGCTTGAGACTAGATATTATAAATTGCCAACAATAATGCAACTGGCAAACAAAAGTACTTCGCAAGTCTTTCCACATTTCATGTTAAGCTATCTCAAACCATTCCCATCCAAATGTTTTTGAATGGTTTTATGTTCTATAGGAATGTGAACCTAGGGTCCAAAATGTTTATGCTAGAAACTTTCTGTTCTGCCTTTATTGCAATAAGCAGAAATAGAAAATACGCTCACCAGATATTGCAGCACTGTGATCTCCATTTGCATTTATGCTGACAATTTCAACATCTTCCAATCCACAAGTAACTTGAGGAAGATTAACTGATTTGATTTTATCTCTGGAGATACCCAGTTGACCACGCTTTCCAGAACCAAAACCATAAACTTGATCTCCTGGAACAATCCAGATTACAATATTCACAAATAAAATTAAGCTCCATCTAAAAACAAAAAGCCATAGCGATTCAAGCATGTGTGATTTTGCAGCACAGATGCATCTCTGCGTTATGACATTGTGACTAGCAATGAAGGAAGAGGTTTGCCACAGCATTTACCTCTAAGCAAGACAAGCGAATGGCGCAAGGCACATGCAATCTGAATAACAAACTTATCAGCAAAGTAGTTGACTTTAACCGGAGTACTCTGTGCCATGTAATCCCCATGCCCAAGCTGACCAAATGAGCCATCCCCGCAAGTAAAAAGACACCCGATATCTGAGAAGTGGCAAAAACCAAAAAACTCAAAACAGACTTTTGTACAACATAATAGATTTGCAGAGCCTCAAAGATGGAGGAAACGATTATAATCATAAATCAGAAAGAACCTGAAACAAACCCAGAATGGCTCCATCCAGCAGAGACATGAGTAATGAAATAGCTCTGCAAGGAAGTAACGGGCTTTGGGTGTAAGCTATTGAGCATCTCTCCATGGCCTAGCTGACCAGTAGTGCCCCTGCCCCAGCTGAACACTCTCCCACCTGGTAAAATAATTTGATTAATTGTGATTTGATAACAAAAGTTCAGTGGGAAAATGCAGAAGGAAAGGAGGGTACCAGACGTCAAGGCAATAACATGAGCACCGCCGCAGGCAAGAGTGGAAATGCGTCCAGTGGAAGAGAGGATAGGAAGATGAAGGAGTTGAGGGAGATACTCATCTTCAAGCTTGCCTGTGCCTAGCTGCCCCTCCGTTCCTGCCCCCCAACTCCATATCTGTTGCTGTTTTGATTCTTCTTCATCTCTTTTAGCTTCTTCCATTACTTTTCACACTCTCCACTTTCCTATGGTGGATTAAGATGACTTAAGCCCTAAAATTTACTATTTCCTCTACGGCTCATTTGATTCAATAAACTAAACATTCTGACTTGCAAAAAATGTTGCAAAAATAATTGATCAGATTATAAGTTCAAACAACCATAACCCAATTTCCCAATCACAATTTTTTTTCATATTAATGTCTTGAACTAGAAAGAATTTCTTCAGCAATACCTAGTTATGAAAACAATTCTCAAACCCAACTCTCTTAGAACTTTAATCAAACGCTTTATATGCATCTGTAAAATTCCCAAAATTGTTCAAAACTATCACCATTCAAGTATCTAAGCATCTAGAAAATTATCAGATGAATCGATATTAGCCCATTCAAACCCTAATTTGGATAAATACGAACCTGATTAGAGATCCGACCGGACATTTACTGCAACGAGAAGTTACAAGAGCGCGCGCCCAATCAATCATAGAATTTTGAATTCTAAGCATCTCCGTTTATATAGAAATGGAAACCCTAGTAACAGGCCTGGTCCGTGTAAGTCAACAATTCTAATAATGGGCTGGGCCTGGATGTCTATTGCACACCTTACCTCCTGTGTTTATATCGTGTTCAGTCAAAGGTGCAATTGTGAGGTTTTTTTTATAAAAAAAAATTACACATAAATGAGACGAAGAAAATTTTCATGATTCAAGCTCAAATTATCAATACTCGCATTAATCGATGAGAAATTATTTTATTCCATAAAAATTAATATTTTCTTTAAATTTTTCCTATTAAAAAAAAACCCAAATTACCAAAACAAATTTTCTTTTGAAGTTTTATGCCAACAACTTGTATGGTTGGACGGTTTCTTTTTCTTTTTCTTTTCTTTTTAAGAAAAATATATTTGATTTAATATTCAATTATGAATTTCACCAAAAAAAATTTTATTTCACACCTTTTTAGTATTGGATAATGTTATCCCTTCACAATCAAAATACATGCAAAAAAGAATTGTGTGTTTCTGCTTATAGAGAGACGATATAATTCAAATTGTAGGTTGGAACCAAATATATAAAATTAATTGGTCTTGAGAACGTCAAAATCAGATAATACATTATGATAAAAATAAATAAATCAAGTTTCTTCAAAATAATTATAATATTTGATAAACAAAGTCTACAATTTTTTTTTTTTTGCAAAACTAACACATAATTCTATAATTGTTAAAAAAAAAATTCAATAGAAGACAATAACTTACAATGCCTTTGATACGGAAGAAGCCAATGAGAAAAACGTACAGAAAATCTCAACGTAAAAACTAAAATAAAAGCAATGAATTATTAATGGCTAAATTCACTATTTACATCATGTGTTTTTATAACTCCATCAAATAAATCTTTTGTATTTTTAATTCGATAAATTGAATGTGTTTATTTTTAATTTCAATCAATTGAATATGATTTTATAAAATCGATAATTTTTATACATTATATCGAATAAAAATATAATATACCACATGAATCTTACTTTATATTATTATTATTATTATTTGAATTAATACATAAAAATTATTGATTTTATAAAATCCAATTTAAATAACCGAAATTAAAAATATACGTATTTAATTAATTAAATTGAGAATACAAATTAAGTTCCTTTGACATATTTATAAAAACAGAGGATGGAAATGGTTGATTGAGCCAGTTATTAATTAATAAAATAACGAGAAAGGACAAAGTAAAAGGAAGAGTACTGTTAATTATCTCAGTCAGTCTGAGCTCCTGACCCGTGGTTAGCGTCCAACAGAGACGTGACGTGTCACTATTCCATTTGGCAGATACAGGTACTCTCTACGTTGACCAAAGCTTTCCCTATTCTGAAAAGAAGATAAAGATCCAATTTTTTGTCCACATCGTGATTGGAAATGTCTTACAAGCATTTCACGGTGTAAAAATTCCAACCACTGAACCATCGACACGTAGCAGAAAGTTCCTGCAAAACGCAGACTCGAGCCACACATGTTGATCTGAGATGTCGAAGTAAGTTAGACACGGGAGCATTTGATTACGACACCATAATGAAAGAATTATGTGTCGTGTTGTTTTTTATCGAAGTACAAAACAGCCTTTTTCTATTGGAGGGAAAGAGAGAGGGCTTCCACGACTGACTCAGCTGTAACATGACCTGCACGGTTTTTGTACTTTGCCCCAGATTTTTTTTTTCAAAATGGCCCATGATGAATAGTGTAATACTATTTCATTGGTGTCCGTTTATTGTCTAGATTGACTGAGGTACCCCTTTGCAAACTTGGTTAGCGATGAACAAGTGTGCAGATTTTTCAGGTTTCAGTCGTACACAGTATGGCTTTTTCAGAGGCTAAGCTTAGCCTGAGGCCTGAGGGCTCTTTGCCCTTTTTGAATCCTATCTATCACTAATTCGTTTGGCTGCATTTTGGTTAGTGTAAGCAAGCATTTAAACACCCGAACTAAATAATTAAAAGGCAATGGATATGAAGTTCCAACCTCGCTATAGATGATGCAACATAGAATAAAAATTATATTTTAATATATCTCTCTAATTTAATGAAACAAATAATGTGGTCCCTCTAGTTTCTAAAATAGTTATTTCGTCTTTGCATTTTACTAATTGTTTGCCATTCGTTTCGTGATTTAGCCCTTGTGCCAAATGGCTTTCCTTTTTTTTTAATCAAATTTGCTAAGCCAACCCACCATAAAACCGAGCGAAACGAAGACTTTGTGTACAATAGTGTGCATTTGTTTCCAAACTCAAATGGGATTTTAAGTTTTTGTCTAATATTCATCTTATAGAATATGCTAATATTTGGTGTAAACTATCAAGAGCGACTCTAAAAAAAAACACGTTGATGACTTTAACTCTATTGGCAAATCACAACTAGCATGTATAAGAGGTGTTTTAATTGATTTTAATGGAAAATTCTTATACATTTTTTATGTCTTGGTGTGATCATGAGCTCTAATGAATATGAGGAGAAAGCTATTGAGTTAAGTATTCCTCATCCTTTTGACAGGTCAATGTGATCAAATTATAGAATCTGACTCTAGAACAATAAGTTTGATGATTTCGTGCCAATCAATCATGAAAACTATAGAATTTGATTAATATTGTTGAAAATCATAAAAAAACTGTTAAAAAATCATATAAAATCATTCATATAGTATCACTTAATAGCTTAAATTTTTAAATTGAGATTGTTTTTTAATATGGTATCATAATCTTGTTGACTAAGTAGTCATAAATTTAAATCTCACAAATCATATTTCTATTTTAATTAAATAAGTACAAAATAATATGAAATTATGCAAATTTTAATTAGGGATGTGTAATCATATAGAATCGTTTATGAGATTTCACTTAATAATTTAAACTTTTGAATTAATATTGTCCTTAAAGAGGATTTGTTTTAGACTTGGTTTGGGAGAGAGTAATGGTGTCGATGATATCCCAGCTAAATAAGCAGTTCATAAACAACAGGATTTTCAGTTTGGATGTAGTTTTGCTTAATTTGGGTGGTTTTTTTTTTTTTTTTTCCTATCTCTGTAATTGATCCCTTACCAAGCAGCAACTCACAATCTTAATGGCTTTGTTTGCGTCTTAATGGCTTTGTCTGCTTTTCCCATCAATAAAGAATCAATTATTGGCCTTGTGAGGGGTTAATACTGAGCCTTTTCCCAGGAGCACGCAATTAGCCAGGACTAATCTTCCCACCCTATAACACAGAATTTTATGGGAGCCTGCCATCTAGTGCATGGCTATTTTAACGATGTATGAAGAAATAAATTTGTGTCTTTACTATCAACTTAACCTTTCGGTGTAGATTGTAGCACTTAATCCAACTAATCGGTAACTCTATAGTTAAAAGTGTTTAGGTGGAAGCAATTTAATAATGGATAACTATTTTTGAAACAGAGGTGTGGGGATGATTGTTGGCCTTATGTGGGGTCAATACTCGACCTTTGTTTGAGAGTACGTAAACGGTCGAGACTAGCTCCCTGACTTGCAGCGTTATAATAACGCAGCACCTCCTGAGCTTGCCACTTAGTGCATGGCTCTCTTAGCAACACCCAGGAAAAAAAAATTGCTTAAACCTTGAGTTAAAAGATGCTTAAACAAAAATAGGTGTCAATTAAAAACAAGAAAAGGAAGAAAAAACTTTGAAATTCATTTAAAAAAAAAGTTTTTTGTATTTGGCTTTTTTATATATATATTTAAATGAAATACAATTGGAATCAAAGAATGAAATTAAGATTTTAGTTATTATTTTTGAGAAACTGATGTTGTTTTTTATTCCTAATTAATAATCTACGAATCAAGTTTGATTTTTGTAAAGAATAATATTTTCAGAAGAAAGAGTGACTTCTTTAAGGCTGTGTTTTTTGGAGAGAAAACAAGTTCTAATTTTTTAAGAATTTGTTTTCCTCATTTTTTAGTGTTTGTTTCGAATTTAGAAAAATAATTAACGAAAAATAATTTTCAGTCAACGGAAAACGATAGAGTATTTCTAGAAAAATGTTTTTCCAGTTTAAAAAGAGAAAAACGTTTTCCTTCGACGAGCTGTCTTACTCTCACGTTACTTACCTCTCTTTTGATATATTTTAACAATTTTTTCTCTATCTTTTTTTTTAATTTAAAATATATCAAATTAATTTTTAATTATTCCTTATCAATTATTATTTATTATTTAATTATTTTCTCTATTTCTACTAATATTTGATTTTTTGATTTGTAGATACATTAAATATTCTTAAAAATTATTTTTACTTCTTAAAATTATTTTTATAATAAATATTTCAATAATTTATCTTTATTTTTTTACTATTATCTCAAACACCACTTACACTATACTTAAATTATTGAAAATGATTATTACAAGACTCGTAATTTTTTATAAAAAATTTAAAATTAATTAATTCCTTAATAAATAAATTATTTTTTAATGCTATTCATTTGCAACTAAATCAATAATTTTTAATTTTAATAAGTTATAAAATTTTGTTGGTAATTGTAGTGAATAATTAGTTACAAATTATTCCGAGTGTTAATCTTTTGAAAACAAATGAATAATTATCTACAAATGATAACTAATAATTTATAAAATTATTTTTTAGACTAAATTATCAGTTCAATTTCTAAAAAAAATAAAAATTCTTAATTGAGATACGAAAATAGCAATGCTAGGATTACTTATAATATTTTTTTTAACTAAATGTGAATATTGACTTGATTTTGTTCAAAGTAATTTTGATGAATGAGTTTGATGGTTAAAAAAAGTATATTTTATTTGTTAAAATTAAAATTTTAGAGTCGGTATTTATGAAAATTTATTAAATTTTTCTAAATGTATGTTATATTGTGAAATTATGAATATGCCTTTTTGAAGTTTTCTCAAAACTTATCGATGCAACAATCACATATTGTTTTTATATTTTAATTTTCTATGTCAAACAAATGCGGTAATATATTTTTCAGTAATTTTTTCATGTAATTATCAAACGACAAGTAAATATTTTTTTTAAAAATAGCCTCCTCATGAATTGGTTTTCCTATGAAAGTTGTTTTTTGTCAAACAAACGGAGCCTTAATTTAAGAATTGCAACTTTCTAAGATATAAAAAAATAAAGAAAAAGAATTGCATCGTTCACTTTCCATCATGAGAGAGATTATAGGGGAAGTCAAGCGAAAATACATTTGAGATTAAATAAAAAAAAACTGAGGTCCGTTTGGCATTGCTCTTGGTTTTTCTTTCCTAAAACTAGTCGTTGGTCTTATTAAGTTTTATCATCTTTTATCTTTTTTAATTCCCAATTGTTAGTTCTTCTGCAACTATTTTATTTCATTTAAAAAAAAAAAATAGGAAGACTAAATGGACCATGATGTTGATGATCAAGCGCCGTGAATGGACTAAATAATCAACTATAATATTAGAAGGACTGAATTGTTTACTTTTCTATAATAATTTTTGTCTTTGTGTATTAAGATATGCTCAAAATGCATTGGTTCATCTTCTTCCTTTTTTTTTTTTTTTTTTTTTGTTGAAAAAATGTATGTAATATATTTATTCATTCATCGGATTTGCATGTACTAGCTAATTTACTAGCCCCTCAAATCAAAGTGACCACCCAAATGGCAACACCTCTTTGTGTTTGGGTTACGAGGTTCAAGCACCTTAATCTAGCAAGTGACATCTAGTTAGCCCATGTTGCGGCACTGACAAGTTGTTGTGAAATTCTCCAAGAGCAGGGGGATTCATTGTCTGTTCTGTTCAATGTTTGCTATACACTGATTGTGCATTATCATGCACGTAACAGTATCTGTTCTTCTTCCGAGGAGGGGAAGATTATAAAAAAAAAATTAGGGACGAGGCAGCATATGTTTGGTAAAGACAAGGGTGTTTTCGTACTTTGGTTTCAGGTTCGTGTAGTTAGCATTGAACGAAACCGGGCAAACTGAGTAACGAGAAAGTCGAGGAGACAGGATCTGGCACCTTCAGCTGCACAATAAACCGGAAACTAAGATGATTCTATTGATGTAAGAATCATCAATCTGACGGTTAAAACTCATAAAAGGACATCTTACAAAAAACCACACGTACATGGATATATAATCCGAATATACAAGTCCATTCATAATTCTTCAAAATTTTGCATAAGACATATACGGTTATGTTACTTAAAAAAAATAATATATTTTTTAATATATTTATTCATAATTATTTTATTATTTTTCAAACATCAGTAAATAATATATACTCATAAAAATTAACCATTCAAAAAAAAAATATTAAAACTCTCTGTAAAATAATAAAAATATCAATTATTTTATATAACAACAAGGATAAAGATTTTCGAAACAAGTTTTTCATTTCTCTAAACAATATTTTATATCACATTAGTTTGATACTATGAATAAAATTTACATACATGATTAAAAATAATAAAAAGTTTCATTAATGAGAAATTAAATTGAAATTGTTCTAATGAGATATGTACAAAAAATTGGACGGCCAAAAATATTATAAACGCTGAAGTAAAAGGAAGTTACTGAAACAAGGTACGACCTAACAGAAGCAAAGTCCAATCAACTAGGTAATGTGTCGAAAGATGAGTGGATACAAGTGAAGAATGTATGCAGGGAGCCAAATGAGAGAATGACACAGCCATCTGACTAGTTCGATTCCAACTGTTCACTGTCTAGTTCTGAAGAAACATTAAAACTCTTCAATTCCGTTAGTTCCCAATACATACAAAAAAGAGACAATAAAATAAAAAACAAGCAAACACTTGTCATGTTAAGGGCAATTTTGGTATATAAATAAAACAAAAAACTCACTTGTCTTTATATATTTAGCAAATCCAAGACATGCACTACTGAAAGATCCGAGAGAGAGAGAGAGAGAGAGAGAGAGGGAGAGAGATATGGATCCGGAGGCTTTCACGGCGAGTTTGTTTAAATGGGATACGAGAGCAATGGTGCCACATCCTAACCGTCTGCTTGAAATGGTGGCGCCACCTCAGCAACCACCAGCTGCGGCGTTTGCTGTGAAGCCAAGGGAGCTATGTGGGCTAGAGGAGTTGTTTCAAGCTTATGGTATTCGGTACTACACGGCAGCAAAAATAGCTGAACTTGGGTTCACAGTGAACACCCTTTTGGACATGAAAGATGAGGAGCTTGATGAAATGATGAATAGTTTATCTCAGATTTTTAGGTGGGATCTTCTTGTAGGAGAGAGGTATGGGATTAAAGCTGCTGTTCGAGCTGAAAGAAGAAGGCTTGATGAAGAGGAATCTAGGCGTAGGCATTTGCTCTGTGGTGATACTACTACTAATACTCTTGATGCTCTTTCCCAAGAAGGTTAGTTAATTAGCATTGATTCTACTTTTTAGTGTAAGCTTATAGTAGCCTAGCTACAGGGGACCATGACCATTTTGAATTTTCCTTTTGTTGTAGTTTTATATAGTTAATTTAATCCATCCTACTCCTAGCTATTTGGATAGGATAATTAGCTTATTATAAGTTGTTATTTGCTACCTTATAATTGCCATATGTTATATTTTTCTTTCTTTTTCTTATTTTTCTTATGGAGTAGTTGAGTAGAAGCAGGAGTGCTTGTACACCAATGTATGTTTAGACTAGTGATACTAATTCTACTTTGTAGAGTCGGTTTCTTGCTAATTAATCACCATGCTCAATTTTAGACCAGTAATTCTCTTAATTAAGCTGCCATTAGCTGGCTTTTGGTTAATTTTTGTTGGTTGCCGCACATATTTATAGTAGTTCTTGAAGTTTGATTTCCCTAAAGTACTGGTTAGGTTAGTTAATAGCTCAGAGCTTGTGAATTGTGATGGTTTCTAGAAAATAAAAATGAACAAAATTTGATTGTACAAAAAATAAAATGAACTTACTAAAATTCTTATCCTTTTTATTTTTATTATTATTATTCTTTCTTGTTTCTTTAATTGGTGGTTCTGTGTTCAGGGTTGTCTGAGGAGCCAGTACAGCAAGACAAGGAGGCGGCGGGAAGCGGTGGAGGAGGGACATGGGAGGCAGTGGCAGCGGGGGAGAGGAAGAAACAGTTGAGGCATAAGAAGAGCCAAAGAAAGGTGGTGGACATTGATCGAGATGATGAAAATGAGGACGATGAACATGGTGGTGTTATCGGTGAGAGACAGCGGGAGCACCCATTCATTGTAACAGAGCCTGGTGAAGTGGCACGTGGCAAAAAGAACGGTCTTGATTACCTCTTCCATTTATATGAACAGTGCCGCGATTTCTTGATCCAAGTCCAAAGCATTGCCAAGGAGAGAGGAGAAAAATGCCCCACCAAGGTACTAAATAACGCATCTAGACCGTTAATTTCTGCAAATTTTTTGGAGTCCACATTTTATTTGTCTTGTCTTGGACCCACATAGACCAGCCATTGTATTCTGGACTGGAATATAGACCAGAAAACGCCTTTCGTTTTCCCTCCCATTCGTTGGCACTAGCCGCCTTCCTTGCCAAGCGCTCGAGCCTCCTTTGCGCCGCCATCATGTACTGGTTTCTGGTCTCTGTCATTTTAGGCCTACAATTGCAGTCGTCCGATGGGATACTTTTTTTTTTTTTTTTTTGAGAAATTATTAACTTATTAGTTGCTAATTCAAGAAATGATTTGAGTACGTCAAATTTTCAGATTTGCACATTCGTACAATGACGTGGACACCTAGTTTATGTTTGCCATGTGGAATTAGACCCAATTCCATTACTAAAAACCATTGTTTAGCCCTAAATGGAATAGTGTATGATGGTGATAAGAAAAAAATGGGTTTTTTTTTTTGTGGTTGTTTTTGGTTATAGGTGACAAACCAGGTGTTTAGGTATGCCAAGAAGGCAGGAGCAAGCTACATCAACAAGCCCAAAATGAGACACTATGTGCATTGCTATGCTCTACATTGCCTAGATGAAGATGCATCTAATGCACTTAGGAGAGCATTCAAGGAGAGAGGAGAAAATGTTGGAGCATGGAGACAGGCTTGTTACAAGCCTCTAGTGGTCATCGCATCGCGCCAAGGCTGGGATATAGATTCCATTTTCAGTGCTCATCCTCGGCTTGCCATTTGGTACGTGCCTACCAAGCTCCGTCAACTTTGTTACGCAGAACGCAATAGTGTCACTGCTTCAAGCTCTGTCTCTGGTAATGGAGGTCAACTGCTGTTTTGAGTGTTCATGCCAAGAGAAAGAAATACTCCTATCTCTATAACATAGTCAAAATTTATGTTTTAGCCAGGTCAGGACAATCTTGGTTGATGGAGGATGGTTCATTAAATTTCACATCCTCCGCTATTATATATTGTGCTGCTTAAAAGCCCTAATCATTGTTTGCTTTTATCGAACTATTATATTGCTAAGTTTAATTTTCGGGGAAGTCTAGAATGCTTACAATGTCCAGGAATTTGAACAAAATGGCCAAAAGGGCCCAACCAGGACCCACTAGATTAATTTGGTGATGCCAAGCATAGGTTGAACCCGCTGTTACTTTAAAAAGAGAAACATATGTTGACCAGATAAAAAGGCATGAATAGTTCTTGTCTTCCTGAGGTGCCAACATGCAAAAATGCTATATCAGGTTGTTGATTTGATTTCTCATTGTTAATGATTGGTGTTTTGTTTTGCCATAACCATGAAATGGTGCTAAAGTTAGATGCCATAAAAGATGGATCATGCTGGCCTGCAATGCAAAATAAAAATGGCGAAACAATGGAAAGTTTGCCCGGAGTTTCAATGACTAAAAAGACACAAGGATGCATGATCGATAAATGGCAGCACAAAAAGGGCAATGGCTTTGATAAAACATCTGGGGTCCTATGGGATAATATTGGCAAGTGATAATAGGATGAAATTTTATTGTGAAGAGCATTCCTAATGTTTACAACAGAGCTTAACCTTTGAAATTCAATCATCTTTAGGCAGAGGTACAGGAGTATTGTATTTATATAGAACATTGGCCCATGTGCTTTGGCCATTAGTGAGCTCTTTTACTACACTTGCTGCTTCCTCTACATCAACACGGATCTGAACTTTGCTGTCCCTCTCTCGGATTGTAACAGATGAAGTTGAATCCACTGTTATGGCAAATGGTATCCCAAGTTCATCTGTTCTGGCGTATCGTTTCCCTATTGATGTACCTGAAAAGGAAGCTTGAGATATGAGCATAATTTTCTTGCGGATTAACCTCACAGCCATCGCAGGATTTCTCCACGTAATGGGACTGGTTCTATAGAAATTTACTAATTTATAAGTTATCAAAACATATACAGAACAATACTAGAGCAGCCAAATGAGTATTATTTTAGCTCCCAAAGATTATATGACTACATAATCTGATGGACACATACCTGTAATATCAATCCTATATGAGATTCCAACAGCAGCCAATGATTTGGCAATGTGTTTAGCAACGTTCTCATATAGTGGACCCTGGACCAGGGGGAATAAGCTACATTTGATAGGTGCCACAATTGGAGGGAAACGGAAAACATTCAACTGCTCATCGGCAGACTTACTGCGCCTTGTGTAGAAAGAATGCTCAAGAAGGCAGTAAATGATCCGTCTAATACCAAAAGATGGCTCAATCACTGATGGCGTAAAAACCCTGTGTTTTTCTTTCTTGATCTCCTTGGAGATAGTCACCATATTCTTCCTGATTGTCACATCTTTCCCAAGAGAGCAGACATGGAACTGCACCTCTCCTTCACAATCCAAGACAGTTTTCATTTCCATAGCTTCATTTTCATCCATAGCCTGCAGAATATATGAAAGGGAGCATGGATTGCTAACCACTATAGGCTAGAATTGAAAACAGTGGCTTGACCATTTCAAACCCAAGTCAGGATTCTAGCATCCTAAAAAATCAAGAATTCTAGTAGAAAAGGAAGGAAGTGAATAAGTGCTGGGAGCATGCTCAGGGTGGGGCTTGGCACTCCGTAGGAAGAAATTGAGTACTATTAATTCCGGGACCAAGCAACAATATATATACTAAACATACAATTATCCTAATCTTTTGTACCTCTAATGCTTCAGACACCATCTTTTGTTTGCCCCTGAATGCAAGGCCCAGCTCCTTTTTCACTGGAGCAATAACAAGTTTCTGCAATTTCGGATGACATTAGTGCTGTCCAACTTTAGAAAACCACTCAAATTTGGACGATGGTCAGAATTACCTCCACTTCTCTTGGTGCGGCAAGTTTTCCATGTGCAACAAGGGAAACACCACTCTTTTCCTGGCAAAGATAAAAGCATTGTAAGGTCTCACACCTCAAATTCAAAGACCTTCCGGCTAATTGGATGAAATGTCAATTTCTGAGCATTATAAACAAGCTTTCATGTCTCAACTTTGGTAAGCTCCTGATTAATTGGTAGAGAAATGTTATTTTCAGTTTCTTCATCCAGCTTGATCATTAGTAAATAACTGGGCAATATCATATGATAATAAATACTTTGACTCACCCCAAAGTAGTAGCTATATCATTCAAGTTCCAAACCCAATATAAGCATATAGGCTCACATACCAAATAAACAAGAAGCAAACTACTTCAGCAAATGCCAGGAAATAAACATTACATTGGAACAAGCTTGAGTTCTCTACATTGAACACCCACCGTATGAACACGCAAATCATAAGCAGAACGATTGGCAATACCAACACACTCAAGCCAGCCATAGGTGCATTCGATGTCAGCATCCCAACAGTCAGCTGCATAGTGAGCCATGTCATTTTCAAGGTGCTGTCTGAAACGCAAGCGTTCCTTGTTGATGCCGAGACGTGTTAAGAAAAGATACACTCTTCCAATGAAATAGCCCAGTGTTTCATTATTGACAATACCCTGACCAGTTATGCACCACAAATATGCTATCAGGAAGGGGGAAAAAAATAACACAGCCAATAGAAATATTTTAGTTGCTGTCAGAATTAAACAGCAAGTATTTCATAATTTTGCTTGAAGAGAACCATTTATGGGACAAGCAGAAACTATAGCGGATAAATTAAACCAACCTTTGAAACTGCTTCACCAAGGCATATTCTCCTTGCTGACTGCCCAGACACCTGTACTTCCCTTGGTAACATCAGAAACTCCAAATTTGCAACTTCGGAAAATTTTGGATGTGATTGGTCATCAGGATCAACAAAGTGCTCAATCTCAGCCAAAGTAAATTCACGAACTCTTAGGAGACCTTGTCGTGGAGATACCTGCATTTATAAGTAAAAAATGTCAGGTTTTGATGATTGCTATGATTTGCAGCCGCAGCCACTGAATGTTATATAATATAGGAGTCATACGTGAAGAATAATCTATGAAAGTGGAGGCAGTTATACTAGATAATGCTAAAACTCTTCCCACTACCGTTCCACTTCCACCGTGGGCTATGTGAAAAGCTGTAGGTCTAGCAGCTAAGCAGCATTGTCCTGATGCTATTAGAGGCCTTGGGAATAGATTTTGTTACGCAAAAAGCTCTAGGTATATCAGCTAAGTAGCATTGCTATGCTGCTATTAGAAGTCTTGGGAAGAGTATGTTTCAGGAGTTGAGTGTGCCTACCTTCTACTTCTAAAGTGCCTACCTTCTACGTCTAAAGGAAGATTTTTGTGACAGAAGATGATGCAGCTCAACATATTTTATACTATAAGAAACTTGGTTTTAGAAAAATTTAACCTATGATTGACGAAATCAAGAGAAAGCAGTGACAGTCAAAACAGATCAGAAGCATCAAGTGGCATCAACACTAGCAAATTCATGAACAAGATCACTTCAAACAACAAGAATAATTTCCCTGCTATAGAAAAAAATGACACTCAGGCATCTAGTTAGCAACGACATATCAGATGAGGGTTTGGTACCTCATTTCTGAAAACCTGACCAATTTGAGCCGCAGAAAAAGGAAGCTTGGTCCCATTATAGTTGTACAAGTCCTTGAAGTTCACAAAAATGCCCTGTGCTGTCTCGGGTCGCAAATATCTGCAGAATATCGTACATCAACAGGAAACAACAGTCACACGTAAGGTTAATATTAGATAAAATCAAAACCATTGGAGGTAACAGCCTCTAGATTTCAATCACTTGTTTATATCTATCATATCCACATTCTTACGCTGGACTCGATCCAGATGGGCCAATGGAAGTCTGAAACATCAGGTTGAACGGATAAGGAGCAGAGAGAGGGTTTTTAGTATCCGGAGCAGTTACGCCATAGTCTCTAATCTTAGCACCTAATTCTGAACATGAAAGATCATCCAACACAGCAAGAATATGTTTCAATTCTGCTGACTTCTCAGCACTAATACTAAGATCCTTCTCAAGCTTATCTTTGCAAAAATCCTTCAGCAAATAGTCAGCACGGTAACAAGCCCCCGTCTTTTCATCTTTTACCATAAGGTAAGTAAACTTGTCCACGTGACCTGATGCCTTCAATACAACCTCTGGTGTCACACATGGGCAATCCACCTCTAACATGTTCTCCTCCAGAACAAAATGCTGACAATTTGAACACCCAAATATCATTAGAAAACTCGCATTGACTCATAAATGTTCGTGAACAAAGATATTTAAATGACTCTCTTTCTTTGCTTACACTGAGACTTTATTACAATCAAGTTTAACTAATATTAAATTTTTATTCTTCTATCAAAGTTTTATTCTCTTTTCATTTTCCCTGGAGAACTAAATTAATTAAAGGAACTATATTAACTAAGAAGCTCTTGAATTCTCTCTCTCTCTCTCTCTCTCTCTCTCTCTCTCTCTCTCTGCTATTAGACCATCCTCCAGCTAGCTTTCACATAAAAAAGACTTTTAAGTCAACCTCTCAAATTCTCCTAAAGATTTGCTAGCAAATCAAAGAAGCTAACCTGACGCCAGAAAGAGATGACATTAGACTTAACAGCGCAACCAGGCGGACCATAATCATAAAATCCAGCAACACCACCATAAATCTTGAAGGACGGAATATAAAACAAACGCCGTTCAAGCGTATTAAGCAAAGCCTGACGAAAAGCATCCTTGTCAACAAATCCGCTGCCATTTTCACTCCCTTCCTTGCTCAAAAGAACAACTTGGAGCCGTCTATCAATTAAGGATTTATCTTGTTCCAATGCTTCCAAAGCTTCTCGAGTGGCATCAATTAGTTCCTTTGCTGCTCCCTCTGCTTTTAGTTCTCTTACAACGCTGGCTTGTGCTGCTATGGCTATTTCTTTCTCCGTTAGTTCTCTACGGAGAGAGGACTCGGTGGAGTCCATGTGAGAAGATGGAAATGAAGTTTCTGTAGTGCGTTTACGTTGATCAAAGAATTGGTCTTTCATAAGAGAAATTTTATAATACGGGGGTCCAACTAGAGTGCCATCATCATGTTAGGAAGATCGATGCCTTTCAATGCGTTTTTCCCTCTGAGGCTGACATGTGTCAAAAATGAACTTGAAAGGTCCAGATGCTTTATGTTATCATGTACTCTACCACGGACGCAAATGCTCTTCAAATCTAATTACCATAATGCCTTTATTTCGGGAAAAAAAAAAAAAACTGTAAAAGGAATCCGGGCATGGTAGATGGATTCCGGAATTTGCTCTAACAAAAAACACAATTCAACGAAAAAGCTTTTTTTTTTATAAAGAATTTATAGACATAAAAGTTAGATTATTTCGTCACCAAAATTAAAAAATATGAAATTTTGATTTTTCAAATTTAAAAAGTATAAAATGAAATTTTAGTTTAATATGGTTATTTTGAAAAAGTAGATTCTGAGGTTTGATCTGAGTTTAGAAGGACTAGAGGAGATAAAAACTTAATTGTTCATTATAGTCCTCAAACTTTTAATTGCTTCAGATAATTCCTCCATTCAAATTTTTAGTGTCATGTTTATGCTTATTTTTTATGGTATGGGTTGATTTGAAGTAAAATTTTGTAGATTGAATAATTATTTAAGATTAATTAGAGATTGTTTTGATAATCTTGTAGATATAAGGATTGTTTCGACTTTATAGTGATTTGAAGATAATTTTATTTTTATTTTTAGCTGATTTTATGATATGTCTAAGATATTTTTATTTTAAAGTTATATATATATTTTTATAATTTTATAACACCACTTTCAATTTATTTTATATTTTTTTATATATATTTATGATTTCTTTTAGAAAATGAGTTTGTTTGGTGATTTTAGTTTTGGTTATTTTATGTAAGTTATTATATTCCTTGAATATGTACTAATTTTTTTCTTTTTGCAATGTTTTAATTTTATGTTGGTGTTTCAAAATTTAATCATAGCTTTCATTGTATATTTTTTTTCAAAACTTTGTCGTCATCTAATTATAAATTATCACAGCACTTTCTTAATTATCAAATCTGGTTTTATAACATGTCTTAAAAATTACATCATAGTTATTAACTACCAATTGCCCATGTTACAGCTGCAGTGTCCGGTTGAACAAAATTATTTTAAAATTTTTTAATTATAATTTCGTATTTAATTAATTTTTTCTAATGCTTTTTATAAATTTTTTTCTTAAAAAAACATAGATAATTCTTCTTTATAAATTGATTTTAACTAAAATATTAATCAAGAATAAAAAAACTTAAAAATATATTTTTCATAATACTCGTACTAAAAAAATAAAATGATAATTAATAATATACTTTTATAAAACTAACAAATGAAAAAAAATTCTTATTTAATGCTAATAAGAAGATTAATTTTTGAAAGGTAAATAGAACAAAATGATTTCAAATTTTTATAATTTTTTATTAATTTTTTATTTAATTATTACTATTTTTTGTTTTTCATATAATTTCTATTTAAAAAACATGATTTATTTTTCTTTATTTAGGGATTCCTAAATAAAAACTTGTAATATATAATTTAAACATAAAATAGTAATTAAGAATTTAAAAATAAATACTTTAAAAATATATTGTTTTATAAGAATATATTCAAAAAAATAAAATTACAATTAATGTATAGACTTGTATAAAACTTAACCAATAAAAAAATAAAAATGTATTCTTATTTAATGTGGATGAGAAGATTATTTTTTAAAAGTACATATATTTGATCTATATATATTATATAATCGTCAATTTGTGTGAAAAAAAGTAACAATTTATTTTTAAAAATTTTATCACCCAATTAAATAAAAAAGAATATAAATCGATAGAAAAAATCAAAAAAAAAACCAAAGAAAAAAAGAAAAAGAAAAGGCATGTAGTGCATCAACTGGGGATTAAAATTTTTATTTTAAAATTTAAAAGATCAAAACGAAAGAATTTGAAAATTACAAAAAAGAAAACCTAAAAAAAAGAAAAAAGATTGGAGTGAATATATATATATATATATATATATATATATATATATATATATATATAAAGGTCTTTGTGAGGGTAAAAAAAGGAGTAAATAATACATTGTGAAGGGGAGAACGGTATCGTCATAAAAAAAAACTTTAAAAATATATTGTTTTATAAGAATATATATATATATATATATATAAAATAAAATTATAACAAATGTATAAAACTTGCATAAAAATTAATCAGTAAAAAAATAAAATTTTATTCTTATTTAATGTTGATGAGAAAACTTTGTTTTTTTAAAAGCATATACATATGATCTATATATATTATATAATCGTCGGTATACGTGAAAAAAAAGAGCAACGATTAATTTTTAAAAATTTTAACATCCAATTAAATAAAAAACATAAATTGATGAAAAAAAGTAAAGAATAAGAAAAAGAAAAGGCATGCTCGTAACCCTCATAAAATCAGTAACCGTATAAGTGTACGTATCGAGATATTTATATTCGTACGTATATATATAGTATATCGGTTACGTACGGGAAAATCTGTACTCGAGTCAAAATATGTACTAGAATATATGGTATGTACGTATTTGTTGAGCGTAACTAATGTACGTAAATATTTAGGCAGAATAATTTTGGATGAATTAATTAGTAAATCCATTGTAAAGTGATAATTGCCAAACATTTTGGGTGGAAATTTTTGGAAACATAACTAAATAAATTACCCTCAAATTAATCACAATTTAAGCCTCATTTACATTTCATCTTACCTCAAGCTATTGACATTTGGCTTGCTCATTAATTAGGAGAGAAAATATAAGATATTTAAGCAAGAAAATGGATAAGGATGCCCTTATTTTTGGTGCATCCCGTTACTTACCTTAAAGAAAGAAAGAAAAAGTGAAAGAGAAGGGAGAAAGGGAGAAAAACGGGAAGAAGAAGAAGGGAAAAAGAAAGGAAAAAGAAAAGGAAACTAAAAGGAAGCCAAAGAGATTTTAGGAAAGTTTAATCCAATGTAAGTAGGTTTCATTTTTTTTTTTTTTTGCTTTGTTTATGCTTTCCATGTTTATTTTATGAGTTTTTTAATTCATGTGAAATGTGATTATGGTATTTTGTGATGATTTTAAACACTTGATGTTTGATGATGGATGATTATGCATGTGTGATGAGAAATGTGCTTTAAGAGAAGATTTCTGGATTTTAGGGGTGAAAAAACCCGAACTTGGTGTGATTTATTTCGGCATCTTAGAGTGACTTTTAGGAACAATTAAAAGAATAAAAGTTGTTGATATATGTGTCTACTATATCTCTTTAAACTTTCGTGACTTTTAGAAATATATATATGGAGTTATGACTGACTTGGTATGGATCATTCGAATGGACCACCTACTGGAAAAATATTTCATTCCGAAAGTTGTGTGATTTATTTCGGGATCATAGAGTGGTTTCTAGGCAGAACGCAAAGAAGAAAAGTTGTTCATCTATGTGTCTACTCAATTTATATAAAATTTCGTAATTTTTAGATCTGTATATAACGATTTATGACTGATTTGGTACGGATCATTTGAATGGATCACCTACTGGAAAAAAATTATTTAGTTCCGAAACTTGTGTGATTTATTTAAGGATCTTAGAATGGTTTTTGAAGGAAATGTAAAGAATAAAAGTTATTGATATGTGTGTCTAATATCTCTCCTTAAAATATCATGATTTGTAGATATATATTTAAAGAGTTATGGCCAATTTGGTATAGGTTGTTTAGGGGTACCACTGCTGGAATATTTTTAACCTAAAACAAATGGGCTTGGACCAAAACAAAAAGGGGTTTGGATTTCATTAAATAGACTTGAGTTAAAATGAGATGGGCTTAGATTTAAAAATAAAGTGGACTTAGATTAAAACAAATGAACTTGGGCTTGGATTAAAATAAATAGGCTTGGATTAATGTTAATGGGCTTGGACTTAAATAAAATAAACTTGGCAATGGACTTGGACTAAAATCGAAGGCTTGGTTTTAAAGTAGATGGGCTTAGACTAACGAAATGAGCTTAGACTAAAATAAGTGAACTTATATAGAAATAAAAAGAATTTAAAAATTTTAAAGAAAATTTATTCTTTTAGAGAGGAATTAAAAAAAAAAAAAAGAGAATTGGACCTTCTTTTAATTATTAATGAAACTAATGAACAATATTAATGAGCGGAGGTTATGTTTCCGCTATGAGTACCATGATTGGTATGTGAGCGCCGGTGAATCCCGAGTGTTGATTGGACCGTGAGTATGGCTTGAGAAAGAAGGGCTGGTACCCGAGTTTGGTTGAATGTGATTAAACATCTCATCACATGCATCATGTGTATTGAGGGTGGAAATAAATTAAGAAAAATCATTGAGTCTTGAATTGACTCGGTTTGGTAACCGAATTGATTAGAATGGGTAATAGCAAAGAATCCATAGTGCGAGCTCTATTTACTAACGCCGTTAAACGAGGGATAATTTCGCTAACCGTGTGCTACAACGAGGGATAATTCCATTACGAGTAGTAGGTGATATTGAGATCACCGAGAGAAAGTAATAGAGCGAGTAGGTGATAACACGATCACCGAGAGATTGGGCGCACGGACTTGCATATACCTAGGGTGCCCGGATTAAAATGGATGAAAATGTGGGAAACACAATAGCATTGCATATCACGTGCATCACCCTACTTACCGAGCTTTAGCTAATTTTGTTATTATATTTGTGTGTTGTTCGAGCAAGGGCAAAGTTAGGTCGATCGAGGATGCTATCGGTTCTCGCTAAAAGAGGCTCATGTGTCACTCATAAAAATAGAAATATCTTTTATGTCATTAAAAAATGGTACGGGCCTAGTTTATAAATTTTTAGACATTTTGAATATATTATAAATTATAGAACTATCCGTAATAATGTTGTAAATTATATCATACGT